AATAACTACCACCAGCTGCCCAGCCACTCAACCAGGCCCAGCCAATTGACACAAAAACATAACCACCACAGGTGGGTTCAGGCTTTGCAGAGTGTCTCAGAGAAGTAGTCTCAGGAGTCCTGTCCCCACTGGTCTACTAGGTCTGTTTGTTGTGGTGGTTGTTTCAGGAATTTGAATGGTGGTTGGTAGTGGTGGCCGGGCACCATCCCGTTTTTCTGGTCTCAGGGTAGAGGAGGCTGTGGTTCATGTGGACCGTCTTGTAGATGAGTTCCTTTGTGGAGACTTTGGTTTCCTTCTTTCTCTTTTGCTCCAGATGAGTAGAGACCAAGAGTTGTATCTTATATGGCCACTCACAGGCTTTTAAGACCTCAGGCATTACTTACAAAACTAGAATGTAGAACATAATTTTATGAACTAAATTATGCTAGTTGACCAAATTGTTCCATGAAACTGTGTTCCTAATTCTTCAAACTCCGAAAACCAGTCCTGTGAGTTGTTTGGTTATGTCTACAAAGTATCCATAGCTGTGCCCCCCATGGACTTCGTTACATGGATGAGTACCCCGCTTACTTACCAGTAACCTCATTGTCTGACATTTGGTGTTTACATCCATAGTAAACGTCTGTCTGACCATTGTACACATTGATGACACACATCTGGCAATAACGAATGTCAAGGTGAAAGTGAGAATGACGCTGGCTATGATGGTTAGTGTTATGTGTCAGGTTGGCTGGGCCATGGTTCTCAGGAGTTTGGAAGTTCTGTAATGATGCACTTTAGCAGTCATAGAGTGATGTAATTGGTAGTTATGTAATGATGTAATTTGGCAGTTATGGAGTGATGTGAGGCAGTTATGTAATGATACAATTTGGCAGTACTTGTTGTTGTTGTTATGTGCCGTCGAGTCGCCCCGACTCATAGCGACCCCTCCTTGGGTTTCCGAGGCAGTATCACTACGGAAGTAGATTGCCCCATCTTCCTTCCGATTGGCAGTACTAGAGTGATGTAATTGGTAGTTCTGAAACGATGTAACTTGGCAGTTATAGAGTGATGTGAGGCAGTTATGTAATGATATAATTTGTCAGTTATAGAGTGATGTAATTGGCAGCTTTGTGGTGATGTAATTTTGCTGTTACTAATGATATAACTTGACAGTTATATAGTGATGTGGCCATCCTCCATATATGCATAACTCCAGTTTTTGCTTGATGACCTGATGTTTGGAATCTAACCATGTCAACAAATGAGGAGTGGGTGTGTATGTGCATGCAGTCACATGGAGGCATGTGCACATGCATACACCTGCACACACACTTCCACTCACATGGACGTACATCTCTCTCACTGCCATTGAGTCAGATCTGACTTATAGCAACCCCTCCTTGGGTTTCTGAGGCAGTATCACTGTGGAAGTAGATTGCCCAACCTTTCTTCCAGGGAGTGGCTGGTGGATTTGAACCGCCAGCCTCCTGGTTAGCAGTCAAGTGCCTATATACATAGGTATATACATAGGTATATAGCTGCATATGTATTTCTATACATGTATAAGCTTATACACACACATATGTACCTGCGCACGTCTCTGCGCACACACATGCCTACATACAGATGCATATGCTGCACACGTGGGTCTGTGCATGCATATGCCTGCGTATACACGTGTGTTCCTGCACATGTGTGTCTGCGCCTGCATATGCCTGTGTGCCTGCATGTCTGTGCACATGCATGCCTACACGCAGAAACACATGTTGCATATGTGTATCTGCACACATGCATAGCTACATGTAGACACAGTGCCACATGTCTGCACACACATATCCCTACATGAGGACACATATGCTGCATGAGTGTCTGCACACGCATATGCCCCCATGCAGACACATACCCCAAATGCTTATCTGTGCACACATATGCCTCCATGCAGACACATGCCGCACATGTGTGTCTGCACATGCATTTGCCTCCATGCAGACACATACGCTGCACACGTGTTTCTTGTTAGCTGTTGCGGTTATTTCACTCTTGTACATGCCACAGCAATTATCCATAGGTCCTTTCTCCTTGTGTACATTTCACTGGTGTCTGATCTTGACTCTTCATGTTAAATGTCTGCCTTTTAAAAGACAAGAGACCATGGGTCATGGTGTAGAAAAATCAGGACTTTGCTGCAGTTGCTGTGGGTTTTGTCGTTTCCTTGCTATGCCATCTTGGGTGAACAGCCTGCCCTGTGAGCCTCTGCCTCCCCCATGTACAGTGGGCCATTCCACCTTCAGTGCCACGGGGAGGCCATGAGGGTCATGGGGCTCTTAGCACAGGGGGTGGCATGGGGCTCCTTTCTTGGTCCCCAGGCCGGAACAGAATTAGCCACTGAGCCCCTGGGTCATCCCCATCTGTGTCTGGCTGGTGCTCCCTCCCATCTGTGCGTGGCAGGTGCCCCCTCCCATCTATACCCTGCAGGTGCCCCCTCCCATCTATCCCTGGCAGGTATCCCCTCCCATCTATACCCGGCAGGTACTCCCACCCCCCACATTGATCTCCGAGTTGCACTGAATTCTGACCCGGCAGCTGCCCCCTCCCATCCATACCCAGGCACATACTCCCTTCCCCTCCCATCTATACCCGGCAGGTACTCCCACCCCTCACATTGATCTCCAAGTTGCACTGGATTCTGACCCGGCAGGTGCACCCTCTCATCTATACCCGGCAGGTACTCCCACCCCCCACATTGATCTCTGAGTTGCACTGAATTCTGACCCGGCAGGTGCCCCCTCCCATCCATACCCGGGCACATACTCCCTTCCCCTCCCATCTATATACCCAGCAGGTACTCCCACCCCTCACATTGATCTCCAAGTTGCACTGAATTCTGACCTTGTTCCTCATGGTAGTAAGATACTTTCCTTCATCTCCATGTGGCCACAGAATTTAGACCTGGGCCCTCTGAAAATCCCACCGCTGGCCCTATCATTCCATCAAGGCCGACTGGGTCCTGGACAGTGAGGTTCCTTGTCCAAGGCAGTCAGTGGGAGATGGGAGGGAGCGTCAGGCTCACTGACCCTGGACCGGGCCTCGGCCACTGCGAATTTGTACAGGCCCCCATTCGTGCTGGGGTCTGGCTTCTCAGGGAGGTTAAATGAGTCACCTGAGCAAGCCTACCGTGAAGGAAGGCAGTGCCTTAACCTGGTGCTTGGGAAGCGTGGCCACCTTATCTGCAGCCTCCTCCTGAAGCCCTGACGGGACCTCAGCCTTCAGCACCACGAGGCAGCTGTTGGCTTTTCTGAGACTGTTGGTGGGTGACCGGTGGGCTAACTTTTTATGCTGTTCTCTGTCCCCTCCAGCCCGTCCCTGCCTGCCCTCGACTGGCAGCTGCCGCCTCACTCAGGACCGTATGAGCTTCGGATCGAAGTGCAGCCCAAGTCCCACCACCGGGCCCACTATGAGACGGAAGGGAGCCGGGGGGCTGTGAAGGCGTCGGCCGGAGGACACCCTATTGTGCAGGTACCCACAGCTCCGGCCCAGGGTGCCGACATGCCACGCTGGTGTGAGCTGGTGCCGTCTCCATGCAGAAGTCTGCTTTGGAGCAACAACACATGGTGGTTTGCTTTTCTGTTATCAATTCCCAAGCCATGGAGTGAAGTGTGCATGTGTGCACACGTGCACATGCATACATGTGTGCATGTGCATGCACACGTGTACACATGTGCACCCGCACATGTGTGTGCACACATGTACACCTGTATAGGTGTGTGAGAGTGGAAATGTGTGTGTGCACTTGTGTGTATGTGCATGTGTGCACACATGAGCGTGCATGTGAATTTGTGTGTGGGGGTGCATATGTACACTTGTGTGTGCTTGTACACGTGTGTGCATACATGTGAGTGCAGGTGTGTGTGTTGTGCGTGCCTATGTGTGCACACATGTGCACATGTTCATGTACGCGTGCACATGTGTGTGCAGATGCGCTGTGTTTAAGTCCCAGCTTCTCCACCATGTGTAGACTGCCTAGCATGTGGGTAGGATGTAGTTCCTCCTTCCATGCCTTGGGGTCATCTGTGTTGTGGAACCCCAGACTACATGTAGAAACAGGATCCTCTCTCCCTTGTAGCTGAGTGTCTCAGGCCAGGTCTGGTGGATGACAGATGGAGCCAGGGCTGGTCAGGAGGCCCAGCTGGGTAGCATTGCACCAAATCTTTATCCAGCTCTGTTGCTCTAAGTGACTGTTACCAGCTGCCACCAAGGGCTCCAGCTGATGGGAACGTGTGTGTCAGAGTGAACTGTGTTCCGTGGCGTTTTCATGTGGAGATCACCACACTTTTCTTCTGAGGCACATCTGGGTGGATTCGAGCCTCCAACCTTTCAGCATTAGCCGGGTGTGCACCCTGCTGGTGAATGAGCATCACTGGTTTGTTCATTGGTTGGCTGCTGAGGCCCCAGGAGACATCCTTGTCCTTGCTTGGCCCTTTGACCCCACGTCCTTCCTAAGCAGCCATCTCTGATTCAGAAAAGAAGGGAGACAGGAAGACAGATGGCCTGGCTGTGCAGATGCCCAGGGCCTTCTGGGACTCCCCTCACAAGATGGTGGCCATGAGAATGGGGCAGGGGTAGAGGACTCTGATCATACCTCCCAGGTAACCACACTTCCCAGAGGTCCCCACTTCCCAGGGGTCCCCACCACCCACAGGTCTCCTCCTCTCAGATGTCCCCACCTCTCAGGTGACCCCACCTCCCAGGTGTCCCCATCTCACAGGTGACCTTACCTCCCAGGTGTTCCCTTCTCCCAGATGACCCCACCTCCCAGGTGTCCCCACCTCTCAGGTGTTCCCACTTCCCAGGACACTGGACCTGCATGTTTTCTCCTTCTGTGGTCTCCTGGAAGGACTGTAATCTTGAAGTGAAAATGTTATTTTGAGGCCCTCACTAGAACAAGTCTTTCAGATGTAAACGTTAAGGTTTGTAAGCACTGAGGAGAGGCATATGGATTTCCGGGCCACCCTTTGCTTACTGTGCCAGAAACTTCAGCTGGGAAGACAGAGTGAACTCTGCCCCAACACCTGTTCCTCAGATCTTGTACTCAACGTCCTTGGTTGGTGTCCTGCCCCTTGGGTGTCACGGGAGGGACTGCTGTGGCAGGGGTGGGCGGCACGCGCTAACACCCTCATGGGGAAGGGTGCAGTGGGGTCAGAGCCATGACCACTGTTCCTGCCTCAAGGACACCTGGGAACAGCATGGCCTGCCTGCTTCTGGAGCAGGAACCTTCCCTGACGGCTGTGTGACAGGGGAGGGTGGAGCCCCCCGTCCACACCGTGGCGTGCCTGCTCTGTCTGGGACACACAGAACACCCAGACTGATTGTTCCCTCTGTCGTTGGCTCCGTGTTGGAGCATCAGCTCTCCGCTTCCTCCATCCACGTGGTGGCCACTGAGATGGCAGCCCCGTTGGGTGTGGGCTCCCCACCTCCAGCGCTTATATATAGATCTCTGTGTGTATGGATAGACTGTTGCCCTCACCACCGTGCCCACACGCAGCCCTGTGATGGAGGAAGCGAGGTGGCCGGTAGGGCTGGCAGGGGGCACAGCCAACACTCATTGTAACCCATTTAGAGAAGCAAGAAGGCTGCGGGGGAGGGAGGCCCCGGGACAAAGGCCCAGTCAGAGAGAAGGAGGTGGCAGGTGGGCGGAGAGCAGGGCACTTGAGGAACATTTCTGACAGCCTTCGGTGGGGGGTGTGGCTGCACTTGAGGGGATTAGTGCCTGCGCTCCTAGCTGCTTGGTGCAGGGAGAGGGCCAGAGGCACAGGGGCGTTTCAGGCCCACCTTCCCAGTGCAGCGGGTCCAATAATGACCCCAGGCATTCACCACCCCTCCTGTGCAGCTTCTTGGCTTGAATGTGCTTTGTCGCATGTAGGAAAATACTAAAAGAGGAGGAAGTAAGAGTTAGCGACAAGGAGATGAAGGCAAGCGTGAGGGGGTGCCAGCTGGGCGTCCGGCACCCGGTGAGAATCCAGTCGGTGGGGGCCAAGTCCCATAGGGGGCCCCAGGGGCCTCCAACACCGCGATCCCAGAAACTGCAGTGCCGGCAGTCTTCCGTTGGCAGGTAGCTGAGGGGTGGGTGCACGTCACTGCTGTAGTCTGGAATGAAGAAACTGAGGCTACCCCGACAGAACGAACATTGCAGTGCCTGTGCGACCTTCCCACTCATTGCGGCCACGGGGGACTCATCTTGTAGTGTTAGATCAGATGGGCCTCTGCTGTGACTCTCTCTGGGTGCTGACCAGATGGGGCTCCACTATGACCCTCTCCAGGTGCTGGACCGGATGGGACTCCACTGTGACCCTCAGGGGTTTCATCGGCTCAGTTTTGGGAGCAGGTCACTAGGCCTTTCTCCCTAATCTTTCTTGGTCTGGAAGCTCCCCTGAAACCTGTCCTCCGTGAGTCACACTGCTGATAGAAGAAGGACTGGTGCCACAACACCCAGTGTCCCAGCCACACAAGCCACCAGAGTCCACAGACTGCCAGACGGGTGGTGGCAGGCGTGACCAGGCCTCAAGTTTTCCAGGAGTCCTCAAAATGCCTTGTTCCCACCATTGTCTAGTGGTGTAAACAGCTGTGCTATGATGCACGGTGACCAGCAGGTTCCGGCACATTCCAGATTCATTTCCCTGTCCAAGTAGCTTGGGCCCAGGGCCCATTCCTCTGTCAGCACGGACCATGGGGACACAACTGAAACAAGTGAGAGGTACTGGAAGCAGTGATTGAAAACATCTAAAAGTTCAGCCTTGATCGTCACTCCAGGGTGGGCGTTCGTGGAGGATGGTGGGTGGTTTGAACGTTGCAAATGCACCTGCAACTGAAGCAGCCAGGAGAAGTGGCCTCAGGTAAGCTGGACCTCGGCACATCTTGCTTGTGAGACATCAGCCCCAGGAAGTGTCCCCAGGAACTTGTTGCAAAGCGAATTACGTAGGTGTGAGTGTGAAGTAAAGAAGAGGTGTGGGGGTACTTTTTCCAGTGGGTGAACCACAGAGCGGGCAAAAATAGAACTTGCGCGTAATCATAAAACAAACGAGAGTAGAAAACCCTCGGTGACTATCAGACTCGGTAACCAGAGAGCTGTCCTCTTAGTTTCACGCCCCCCTCAGCCCAGCGGGCTTTGTCTCTTCAGAGATGGCTCTGCCTCTGGCTCTTCAGAGATGGCTGCGTGTCCCAGACGAGTCTGGTGTGGTGGGGGCAGCCTGCTCTGTTCTCCAGACACCCCCCCTCCCTGCTGCCGAGCCTGTACCATCCTGCTGGTGCCTTCCCCAGGCTGCCGGAAGGTGTGGGCCAGGTCAGTGTCCATGGTGTCCTGGGAGACTGAGGGCCCTGGTGGTGGTGGTGGCTGTTGGGTTGGTACTGACGGCAACCCCATGCACACGGAGCACAGTGCTGCCAGCCGCACCAGCCCTGCGATCAGTTTTGAGTCGGGCCACGGGGCTGCCCAGGGCTTCCAGTGGCTCATTCTCAGGAGGTCACCAGGCCCTTCCTGGTCTTGGTGTGGATCTGCACTGGAGCCTGTCGAACATCACAACGGCACACACGCCTGCACTCACAGATGGGTGGTGGCTGCACGTGAGGGCTGCCGGGTGGGAATTGACCCAGTCCCCTGCATGGGAGTTGAGACTTGGGCCACTGAGCCAGCCCTGCCCCCACTGGTCGTCTTGAGATGAGGTCAGAGGAGGGCTGCCGCTCAGAGAGGCCAGGAGTCCGCAGAGTCTTCCTGGCCTGTTCTGGAGCAGCTTGGCCACCGCTGTCCTGTCTGCCCTCATTCACAGGCAGCTGCAAGCTGGGCCTTGCCCCGCTCACCTCTCTGTGTTCCTCACGGCATCTGGGAGCCCCCAGGCACAGGGACCTTTGGGGCTGTGGCCTGGTCCCTGACCCCAGTGGGCAGAGTGTCCAGCATTCTTTACCAAGTTGCCAGAACCACCTGGCAATGGATCCAGACCATCGCAGACTTGTTCAGGGACAGACTTGCAGACCGTGGAGTCTCCTGCTTACCTGTCAGTTCCTCGGCCAAGTTTCAAGTTGGTAATTTGTGTTCTTGTCCATTGTTTGCTCACAGTCGGACTGGATGAGCCAGCATGGTCCCTGCCTGGATGAGGCTGGGATGACGTTGCCAGGACTAACGCGACAAGTCAGTTCTGGTGTCAGAAGTCAGGCCTGGGATTGCCTTTGGGCAGGGAGAGGGAGGCCAGGTAGGGGCCGCTGTTGCCACTGTGGGTCCAGCTGGTATCTCGTTGGGTCGCTGGCTCTCCAGTTCAACCATGCCTCTTAGAGCCATAGCAAAAATGTTGACTGTCGTGGGAGAAGCGTGACAGCCAAAGAAGAAGGAGTGGAAAACACCAGGAAATAGCTCCTTTCCAGCTCACTGAAATGGGCGTATAAAATACATCTGTGTGTTTCACAGCAGGACCCATCCTCCAAGAACCGCGGGGCCTTCCAAGCATGGGCTGTGGATGGCAGGTAGACGG